AAATGTGAGGGTTTTGAAGTTATACAACCTGTTTGTCTTTTGACGAGACCAAATTTCATAGCATGTAATTTTGGATGTTGTAATCTCAAGTTATCAACTGAAATCAATATAGATCTCTTGCTCATTAATTTGTCATCTGCGACTTGGAAAGCCATTAGCAAAGTTGATAGGGATATGCGAGCTATGATGGCATATGCTCTTTTCTTTGAGGCCTGTAAGGTGTCACTCGCAAATTTACGAATGAGGAATCAGATCCTTAAAGGAGTAGTTCTCCAACCCCCGCATATAATAATATCTTTTATCATATTTAGATCGTCCAGATTAACCTAATATTCCCGTGATCATACTTGATTATAATTTAACTTTTCTATATGCCTCCACACACGTTTAATATTGTAGATCCTGAAGTCAAAAAGCTACAAAATAAAGGAATTAATGTCAATTCATGGATAGTAGGGGAAAGAAAAAGAACAAGAAAAGAAGACATGAGATGAATATTAGGTGTAAAGAAATGCTAAAGGGCAGTTGCCTATTCAAGTGGACAACTCTCACTCCCAGCCATGAGCCCGCATCATTAAAATGCGAACAATGAACATCTAGACGGCCATTAAAATTCAATGTGAACGTTAGGGAAAGGGGAAAAAGTGCCCAAGTATGAAGGGTTCAACCCTAATTTTTTGGCTTGCCCTAAGGTACCTTTACAGACATTGACAATATCAGAAGCTTTGAGTCATCTAGTATGGGTAACTATATACTCAGTCAAACAGAGTAGTTGAGTCTGCTCCTACTCTCTCTTTATTGTCATCACAAAACAATTAACAAAAGGTTGACCTGCTTTTGTTCCATATGGAATCAGCAGTAGTCAATTGCAATGCTGTAATCCAATAACACATGGGATGGTGAAATGTTTGCTTAACATATTTGAGAAGAATTGCCTAACAAAATTTGGAGTTCATTTTGAAAGTTACACAAGGTTTTTTATATAATTATTTTTATTTATACAAGCGATATTAGAAGAGGGGAGAATCGAACCTAGGATTGCATGTGCAGGGATAAATGTTCTTAACCACTTGAGCTAGTGTTAACTTAAGAAAAGAGTGTTAGAAGAACCCTAATGTAGAACTCTAGCCAAAGTTCAAATTTTCTTATTAATCTTCAATACATGGAAAATTACATTAATGGACCTTCCAAATGCTTGCTAACATGTTATTCTAATTGGAATTTTCTGACACCAAGATCACAATGAAGGTGGGATGTTGTTGTAATCAATTAATGTAAAGTGCTTAACTGATGATCGAAAGGCCCACTGTACTGATATTTTTTCTATGTCAAGGATACTTGGATTATGAGCCAAAAAGGTTTGTTCTTCTATAATAAGCTGATTGAGCTTAGACCTTGTAGCTAATTAACATGATGATTAGTCACCCCAAAGCATGAAAGCTTTGTACCAACTCCAACCTTCTCTTCTGATCCTGTCTATTGATGTAGCTACCACCAATAGTAAGTTACCAACTCCAGCTTCTCTGTACCTCATTCTTCAAAGTTGTGTACAAAGTCACCTCAATAAATACTCCCTAAGCCATCCCAACATTCATCAAAGCAAGTCTTGGGGAGAGCTTTATTTTCATTTGACGATTTCAAGTCTTCTTCTTCTCTAGTGATCTTACTAGACTTGAACTAAGAGTACCCAAAAAAGAAAACATTATGGCTCAGTCTTTGAGCTTCCTTCTAGCTCTTTCTCTTCTTGCCTTTGTCCCACTTTGTTTCTGTGATAAAACTCTTGGTGGGTATCTCTACCCACAGTTTTATGACCACTCTTGCCCTAAAGCAATAGAGATTGTAAAGTCTGTTGTTGCCAAGGCTGTTGCAAGAGAAGCTCGCATGGCTGCCTCTTTGCTTAGGCTGCATTTCCATGACTGCTTTGTACAGGTACATATTTGTATCAAATCATTCTAATGCATCTCATTTGATAAATAAAAAAAGAAGTTATGTTAACATCTTATGACTGATGTACTTAAAATCATGTTGCTAATTTTGAATATTGCAGGGTTGTGATGCATCAATTCTGTTGGACAGCAGCAAGAACATAATCACCGAGAAGAGGTCTGTCCCGAACCAGAATTCAGCTCGAGGGTTCGAAGTAATCGATGAAATCAAGTCTGCAGTAGAGAAAGAGTGCCCCAACACTGTGTCCTGTGCTGACATTTTGGCTCTTGCTGCTAGAGACTCCACTGTGCTAGTAAGTGTTACATTTTTAGCTTTGTAAGTTGCATGGTGTAAGAACCCAAGCCTAAATTCACATATGCTGACTATAAATTGTTGCTGCATATTGCAGTCTGGGGGGCCAAACTGGGAGGTTCCACTAGGAAGAAGAGATTCAAAAGGAGCAAGTTTAAGTGGCTCCAACAACAACATCCCTGCTCCAAACAACACCTTCCAAACTATTCTCACCAAGTTCAAGAGGCAAAAGCTTAACATTGTTGATCTTGTGGCACTATCTGGTAACTTTGCCAAAAAAACACAACATAGTTCTTCATTATTTACTAAAAATAAAAATTACCAAAAAAGCTAACATGCCCTGAGCTTTGTGTTTCTCAATCAGTTTTTTTTATTTCCATTGATATGCAGGAAGCCACACCATTGGAAATGCCAGATGCACCTCATTCAGGCAGAGGCTTTACAACCAGTCAGGCAATGGCTTAGCTGACTTCACCCTTGACCAATCATATGCTGCACAGTTGAGAACCAGGTGCCCAAGATCTGGTGGAGACCAAACCCTGTTTTTCTTGGACTTTGTCAGCCCAACAAAGTTTGACAACAGCTACTTCAAGAACTTGTTGGCTTCCAAGGGCCTCCTGAACTCAGATGAAATTCTTATCACAAAGAGTCAAGTGACAAAGCAATTGGTTCAACAGTATGCTGAGAACACTGAGCTTTTCTTTGAGCAGTTTGCCAAGTCCATGGTTAAGATGGGAAATATTTCCCCACTTACAGGGTCAAGGGGAGAGATCAGAAAGAGATGCAGGAAGATCAACTCAATCAATCAGACTGCATGATTTCAGGGCCACTAAAAATTCATATGTAGTGTGTGTTTTTCTGCTTTTCCAAGTTATTTTTTTTCTCTCTTTCCCAAAATAAATTCTGATTGTAAAGCTTGATGTGGCCATTATATTGTAGACATCCAATGATGCAATATTAGTGCTTGTTGTATTTCATGGAACTTGTAGTATTTTTCATCTTCAATAATCTTTAAAAGCTTCGATTTTAGTTAACATCAACAATCTACACCTTCGTTTATTATTTATTTTTTTGTAACGCAATGCAATAATGAGAGAAACCACAAAGCTTGCTATTCACAAAGCTAAAGTTACTTTTAGTATTATCTCAAACCCCATAATTACTAAGAGAATCTCCAAAGAAGACGTCAAATTGTCACGTTATTTTGACTCATCTTAATATTCTTTTCGAAACAACAATGAATTATGGACTCAAATTAGAACTGGGAGCCCAAACTTACAAAAGTTAAATTTTACTGTTTCTGAACTAATTAGGCATGTCAAACTGCTCCTCTATCGTACGTCTCTTATCATCTTTCTACGTACGTTATTTTGTTGCACCTAATGAGGCTTTGGAGTTGGGACTAAGAATTGAGAGACATGAGGCCTACCTTTGATAATGATAATGCAGTCTGTCAAAAGACAGGAGAGAAGAGAAGTTGCTTTTTGCACAGATTCCTCAAGGCGTCCATTGAAGAAACTTTCAAGGTTTTATCTATCATCAACATTCCATCAGTGACCCTATAATCATAAAAAAATTTCACGTTCCCACCCAAAGAATTAAAATAATAATGGAGAAAAAAGTGAAGTTCTCGGAAGCATGACCGGAAGACAATCATAGTGATTTTTCTAAAGACAGATCCTTGTCATCAAGTTTCCCTTCACCCTTAAGATGTTCCATTATTGGTGGTAACGTTAAAACATTACTTAGCTATGTAAAGTGTTGCTTGAGCTGCTTCTTTTAAGGCAAGGACTATAGGGTAGGAGTAATAATAGGAAGATGTTGCTTTCTTTGAACATAAAGTAATCTTTCTCTAATGAATACAGGCCATAAGACTAAAATGACTTAATTTGCTCCAATAATGCACGTTAGAAAAACCAATAAGTGCATATGACACGTTGTGCAAAGGAGTTTGAGCATTGTTCGAGGGTTTTCGACAGAGCTCAAGCAGAACCTCAAGTGACTTTAAAAGAATTTTTTTTTTAAAATCTTTAAATAAATAGAGTAAGAAACTAAAAATCTTTATTGTGCTACTAAAAAGTTAATACATATTCGGTATTCTACTTGGATCCAATTATATAAACTTAAAAACAGATTTTAAGTTCAAAGTTCAAAAAACCCGTTTGATAGGCCCATTTTTTAAAATCCAAACTCAAAAAAATTCAAAAACACCCCCATTATTGAAAGCAAAAAAGTGAGATTTTATAGTTTTTTTTTTCTCTCTCTCCTCCATCTCTCTCTCTCTCTCTCTCTCTCTCTCTCTCTCCTTGCTCTCCCATCTCTCTCATCTCTCGTCTCCCTAGTCTCTCCTCCCTCTCTCATTTTCTTTTCATAATTTCAATTTGGCAATTAGGGTTTTTGATTTTCTGATTTTAATTTCAATTTTTTTTTAGATCTTAAAAACAGTTTGGAGTTCAATACCAAACAAGTTTTTAGATCCTAAAATCAGTATTTAAAAACTCATGTTTTTTAGATTAAAAAATCATGATTTTTGAGTAGGATACCAAACGGCGGTTAGTTTTCTAAATTTCTTAATAACTAATATGTGAACATGCTATAATCTTAAAAATTAGGTCTGGGTGTTCTGATTAACTTGTTGGGTGTATTGTAAATAGAATTTCCCAAAAAACATTGGGCCAAGCTCGGTTCAAGGCCCAATTAATGGATTTGGGCCCATCATCAATTTTAGTCTGAAGTTCAGACCTTGGTGGAGGGCAACTTAAGCCTCCATCCCCGTATAGAGTTTATGCCTGCAAGCTCAAGCGGTCACTTACACTCGCGCCATACCAGTCACTCTCTTCTAAGCTTCAGAAGCCATGAAAGCACCAAGATTATGCTAACCTAATCAGGACCACAATGCTCGGATAACAACCCCAATTGCCTGAAATCACACCCCCAACCCCAGAAAAATGAGATATTTACGGTTCATTTCCCCACAATTTTCTCATATTCACAAAACCCTAAACCCCCAAAGCCCTCCTCTATCCTCTCTCCAATCAAAGCCCCAGATTTGTTCTCATTTCGTGTGCAATTACACTACTGCTGCACCGGAGCAACGGCCACCTCCGTCCGGGACGGTATCGGCGATCGCGGATGAGATCTCGGGCCTGACTTTGCTCGAAGTCTCGGACCTCACGGAGGTTCTGAGGGAGAAATTGGGCATAAAGGAGATGCCGGTGATGGCGATGATGATGCCGGGGATGGGATTTGGGGGCTTGAAAGGCCCCGGCAAGGGCGGTCCGGCGGCGGCTAAAGGCGAGGAGAAGGTGGAGAAGACGGCTTTTGATGTAAAGCTCGATTCTTTTGATGCTGCAGCGAAGATCAAAGTGATTAAGGAGGTGAGGACGTTTACGAGTTTGGGGCTGAAGGAGGCCAAGGACTTGGTGGAGAAGGCGCCTACGCTGTTGAAGAAGGGGGTTACGAAAGAGGAGGCAGATTCGATTGTCGCGAAGATGAAGGAAGTTGGTGCCAAAGTTTCTATGGAGTGAGGTAATTTGTGCAATTTTGCTCATACATTTTGTGAATTTGAATGTGCGGTGTGGCAGCAGGAGCTAGCTTCTCATTGTTTTTTGGGTATTGTTAACTGAGAAAGTTTTCTAGTAATCCGGTTTAGAAATCCTGTTTTGGTCAATATGATTAACAAAGATGTGGCGAATGGGGCACAAAGCTCTTTGCTGGGTTGTCACATTAATGAAAACTCTGAGCTAGACTTAGGCATTTTGTTGCTCATATGCAAAGGTCATTGAAACTTCAGAGCTCCTATATAGGCACTACTATGAGTTTAGAGTAATGATTCATGTCCAGTGTTCAGAGCTGCTAATATAGGCACTATTTGGGGCTTTATGGCATGACATTGTTGGGGATGACCTGGAGAATGTTAGCTGCAGCACTCACAAATGTGTGCGGCTGTATACGCATCAGTTTTGCGGTTAACCCTGAAAGACACTTAATACACCTGAGCACCCTCACTTAATAGTTTAAAAAAAAAAATAGTATCACCTAACCTAAGTAGCCTCATCATTTGTCAATGTTTTCAGGCAATCACTTTTGACAGCACTCGTTAGCATTGCACCATTACCATATTTTCTTTCTTGTTGAATGCAGTTATGCAACTTGAATATCTGATGGATTATATTTTTTTTGGTGACTTTCCAGGAGGAGATAAGGATGAAGAAGTTCCAAGTTCAGGTGGCAAGGATTGTTAAAATGTAGAGTAGCAAAATAGTGGTTCATCACACCGGATGTGCAATTGACATAGTCTCACAGAAGACTACTGCTGATCTTCATGACGCAAAGCAATCTTTAGTAGAACTGCTTTGCTTATCTTTCTTTGAGTTAGATAGAGTAATGTATCTGCAGAAGCTTTGTGTCATATTTTTAACAATCAATTCAATCGTTTCAGTTACTTCATTACTTTTACAAACCAACAGTTGTAGACCTAGCATTTTGATAATGGGTTCACAGAGTTGAAGTTTATGATATGTACTTTGCATGTTTCTCCAAACCAAAGTTGTGCCAACTGCCAAGAACATTTATACAACTTAAAGATCAATGTCTACACCTCAAATTATAACCTGATTCAACCTAGAGAAATGTCATCAACTTTGTAGACCTTTTCATGCTGCAGTGCATAGCTCAACTCTGCCTTGTTCTTGAACAATGTCTGCAATCTGGCAACCTTCTCGAAGTGATCACAGAACAAAGCTTTTCAGTTTGTGCATTCCTGAACGCCCACAGGGTAACAACATCTTCGTACTTTAGGCCATGATGTCGAACAAAATATTGCCAATAAAGCTTATGATTTTTGCGAATTTTTGTGGTCTTGAACAGCATATTGTGCTCATTACCAGCAATGTCATTCGTTGTGACCCAGATGCCTTGTGTAGGATCTTCATTACCGTTCAACAACGGGAAGATGTGTTCTTCTATGTCACAGTTCTTCACCTCTAATGAGAACATCGCATCAGTTTTTTTCAAGTGTCTCTCAAAAGGCTGCATATTTGAATCAAATGTTGGATGCTTGGGACTGGTGGGAGATCAGGAGGGACATACTTCCGAAATCCATGGCATGAACCTAATTCTAGTTTTGGCTGTTCTTGTGCTGCAATGGCTTGTTGGGATTGTTGGGCTCATGGAGCTGCAGGTTCTTGAAATTGAATTGATCGTTGGAGGCTTGGGATTGGTGGGAAATCACGAGGCACATAGGTTCCAATTCCATGGAAAGATCCTAGTTCTAGTTGTTGTGGTAGTTGAGGCGTGCCTTGTGCTGCAGCAATGGCTTCTTGGGCTTGCAGGGTATGTGAGGCTGCAGTTTCTTGAAATTGAATTGAGGGTTGGAAGCTTGGGAATGGTGGGAGATGATGATGAGGGACAGAGTTGTGAATTCCATAGTATGAACCTAGCGCAATAGCTTCTTGGGCTTGCAGGACATGTGGAGAACAAGGTTCTTGAAATGGAATGAAATGATGAGGAAGCACATAGTTTTCTCAGAACCAGCCTAGTCCTAGTTCCTGTTGTTGTAGAGGCATGACTTGTTGTGTTGAAATGGCTTCTTGGGCATGTAGGGCAACAGGTTCTTGAAGGCTCGGGACTGGCGAGACAGCATAGTTTCCATAGAAGAAGGAACCTTGTTCTGGTTGTGGTTGTTCTTGTTCTTCTTGTGTTGCAGCAATGGCTTCTGTGCCTAGTAAGAATGCTTCAAATTCTTGGATTTTCAATGCTAGTTGCTCATTTTCTTCTGCATGTCCATCTTCTTCCAACTCATCATCAGAATCCAAAAGCACGTGCTCTATGTAAGAAAGAGCTTTAGTCATGTGTTCATCATCATGATCATTAGCCATGCCTGGCCTGGAGCTGTTTCCTGAAGCCACTTTTATGGTTTCTTGTTTCATGATCTTTCTCACAAAAGGAAGTCTTCTTGGGAGATTTTTTTTGAAGAAATGGGAAATGGGAAATGTGAAACGGGAAATGCTTTCTGTTTCTCCACCTGGGTTTTATAGATATCTTTCCAGAAAAATTGAACCCAGTTTCATTTAGCTTTGGCAATGCAATTGGAACCCTCATTACTTAGTGTCTGGACTAAAACCTGTTATAACTAACAAATTGGTTTTGATGCAAAAATAAATAAAATAAAGTAGTGAGCAAACAGTAACACCATAAAATCCCATACACCAAACGAGATATGATGAGTCAAAACACTTACAAACGACACCGTTTCCCCGACCTGACCATTTTCCTGAAGTTGGTGCTACAAGAACATTTTGGAAAGGTCGTCATTTTTTCATTTGGCTATGAAGTAGTTCATAGTAGATAGGACAGGACAGGATTATAATTGTCATCAAGTTTGCTTTGCTTTAATTTGATAACTTCTTATCAGAAAGATGGGCCAAATTATGATATATCTAGCATATATGTCCGCTCAACCCAGAGCTTCACCACTATTACAAATACCAAACCAGAAAGCTTCCTGTTTCAAGGGAATTTGCAATAACTATCACTTCAATGCATGTGCTCACTCACCTGTCTGTGACATGTCTGTTATAAATTTAGAGAATTTTTCTTCTATGTGCTTATGTTCATAACTTTTTTCTGTCTTTTCAAAATCATATTTCAGATGCCTTAAGAACCATAATGAGAGAGGAAGAGTGGGCTGCGCTTTATAAAGATGTTCTCTCCAGTCTTTTTCAGGTATGTTATTGTTTATGAGCTCAGCATACACACATTCCTTGTGCTTGTTCATCTGCGGTTCTGCTCCATATGTGGGTTTAATAACACAGCATTTCAACTCTACCTAGTAGTGTGTTGTAGGATTATTGAAGCAGTGTATATACTAACATATTTCAGAAATGGGAAGCTATCTTGTCAATTCACTGTTCACTACGTTTTTATTTCATGTCTTCGATACTTGCTTTCACGGGGGAATTTTCATTTAGTTTCTTGGTCCACTTTATGTCATCACCTGGAGAATTTGGAATTCTTGCTTTATTAAATTTACTTACTTGAGCATATTAAATTCATGAAGATATTCATCTGTGAGAAGTCTAAGTGTATTCACAGCTACTGTAGTGTAGATCATCATTTGTTGAATGGTAATTTACGTCTCATTGCTTTTTGGTTACATCTGTTCAAGTTTAAGAGTCTGCTAATCAGGCCTTGGATTGAGACTCATTAGGCAAATTAACCAGTCTGATTACGAGGTCTTATGGTCTATTTCTTTTGGCACAGAATTCAGTTGAGTGTGCAGCTTTGGGGGCATCATCTAAAATCTGATTTGATTGGTAGTGAACGTTATAAGAGATCAAGTAGCTACTCTTCTATCATATCCATTCCGAACCAAAGGAATACCAACTGCCAGGAACATTTTTACATCTTGAACTTGATCCATATGTATATACAATACACCTCAAATCACAACTTGATCCAGCCTAGAGAAATTTCATTGACTTTGTAGACCTTTTCATGCTGCAGTCCATCTCAACTCTGTCTTGGTGTTGAACAATGTCTGAGGGTTTTAAAAAAATGGCAGCCTTCCCGAAGTGATCACAAAACATAGCTTTCCAGTTTGGGCATTCCTGCCATGAAACAAGTAGCTACTCCTACAACAATTGGGAGCTTCTTTTAAGCCAGCCCACAATAGAATAATTCCACGTCAACTCCCCTCTACCAGAGAATCCATGAATTCCGGGCGCCCACAGGGTAACATCTTTTTACCGTACCAGGCGATGACGTCGAACAAAATATTGCCAATCTCAGCATATGAATTTTTTGAACTCCTGCCGTCTTGAACTGCACACTGTACTCATTACCAGCAATGTCATACATTTTGAGCCAGATGCCTTGTATAAGATCTTTGTCGCCATTCAACAATAGCCAGACGTGCCTTTCTACGTCACATTTCATCAGCTTTAATGCTAGTGTTGTCACATCATAGTTTGACAAGAACTTCTGAAGAGGCTTGCTGCATATTTGAATCAAGTTTCGGAGGCTTGGGACTGGTGGGAGATCAGGGGGGACATAGTTGCCAGTTCCATCGAATGAACCCAGTTCTAGTTCTGGTTGTTCTTGAAATTGAATTGAGCATTGGAGACTCGGGATTGCTGGGAAATCACTAGGTACATAGGTTCCAATTCCATGGAAAGATCCTAGTTCTAGTTGTTGTGGTAGTTGAGGCATTCCTTGTGCTGCAGCAATGGCTTCTTGGGCTTGCAGGGCATGTGAGACTGCAGGTTCTTGAAATTGAATTGAGGGTTGGAAGCTTGGGAATGGTGGGAGATGATGATGAGGGTCAAAGTTGTGAATTCCATAGTATGAACCTAGTGCAACGGCTTCTTGGGCTTGCAGGTCATGTGGAGAACAAGGTTCTTGAAATGGAATGAAGTGATGAGGAGGTACATAGTGTCCGCAGAACCAATCTAGTCCCTGTTGTTGTAGAGGCATGACTTGTTGTGTTGAAATGGCTTCTTGGGCATGTAGGGCAACAGGTTCTTGAAGGCTCGGGACTGGCGAGACAGCATAGTTTCCATAGAAGAAGGAACCTTGTTCTGGTTGTGGTTGTTCTTGTTCTTCTTGTGTTGCAGCAATGGCTTCTGTGCCTAGTAAGAATGCTTCAAATTCTTGGATTTTCAATGCTAGTTGCTCATTTTCTTCTGCATGCCCATCTTCTTCCAACTCATCATGTGCTCTATGTAAGCAAGAGCTTTAGCCATGTCTTCATCATCATGATCATTAGCAATGCCTGGCCTGGAGCTGTTTCTCGAAGCCATTTTTATGGTTTCTTGTTTCACAATCTTTCTCACAGGAGAGAGTCTCGGGAGATTTTGTTGAAGAAAAAGGGAAATGGGAGGTGCTTTCTATTTCTCCACTTGGGTTTTATAGATATATCATATATCCTTCCAGAAATATGGAACCCAATTTCATTTAGCTTTGGCAATGGAATTGGAACCCTCATTACTTGGTGTCTGGACTAAAATCTGTTATAACCAACTAACATGTATTAACAACCTTTTATCACAAAAATTAAAAAATAAAATAATAAATAAAATAAAAACACCGAGTCAAAACACTTCCAAAACGACACCGTATCCAACCTTCCACTTGAAACGACGCCGTCTTTCGCCTCTGACACTGACAGCACTCAAGACAAGACTCAGAGGCAAAGTCCACCTCGTTACTCGGTAGTCGTTCGTCATATAACGCCGTCGTTTTAGGATTTCAAATCGAAACCGCCAGGTCTTGTACCGGTAAGCGATTGCAGAGAAAAGC